TAAAAAAGAATTCCCCTCCTTTATTGGGCCTTTATCTAATAGTTTGGAAAATTTGTAATTAACATGTTATTACATGTGGTTTGGCAGTTCATTTGACAGCTCTGAAATAACATTCTTGGCTTTTACGTGAGAATCTTTTATTGAAACCCAAAATAGCTCTTTTCAGAAACTTAGAACTTCAGGCAATTTGGGGATTCGTGGAAACGGTGGCTGGAAAATTTTATAAACTTCCCAAAAGGAGAAAATGTGTATAAACTGATTCTGTGGTCCAACATTGGCTATTCCAGCAAAGAACTGAATGGTCCTATAGCTGTCCTTCTTTCCTCTACTTAAGTTCAGCTGCATTAAGGCAGAATGTCCAAGAGGAATCTGGACTCGGGCACTATGATTAAAGGAAAAAAGCCAGAGTAAAAACCTACCTCCCACCCCAGCCTATAGACAGTCTGAATTTTGTTTTATTTTGTTTTTTCCTTGTAGAGCTCATGGGGCTAGAGGCAAAGTGAAGCCAGGAAAGGGAAGAAGATACACAGGGAAAAGTAGAGGAAGCACCAATAACAAACATCGATTTTCACTTTGCCCAAAGCATGTGGTCCCTGAAAAGCATGGCTATGACTTCAGTATAATGCCATCATGCCAAAGTGCAATCGTTTATTTTAGAGCTTTAGAAGGAGTCAATTATTTCAGCTTTTGCCTAAGTACAACTATTGGAGATTCTGGCTGATTGAATAAAAGAAGAAGTCTACTACTTGTATTTTACTGACAAAACAAAACACCTTTAAACTAAAAGGATGATTTATCTGGGCTGAAAATAAAACTCCTGCCTACTGAAGTCTGGTGCAGCTAAATTATCACTATTTTCATCCTGTAATTTGTTTTATAGGGTACTAATTAACAGGGCAAAGTCTGTTGCCAGGAAAGTAAATCACATTTTGCTGTTTTCTTCTTTTCTAACAAGACACAGACCTGGTATTTAATTGAAGAGCAAGTTCCAAGGGCACTATCAGCACTGAAACTGGGGAACACTGGGCTGGGAAAGCATGGTGAAACCTGCTGTGTAGAGTACAGGAAAGACGGCGGGAGAGAGAGGAAAGAACAGAGGGAGACAGAATGGAATTGCACAGGTAACTTCAAAAAAAAAAAAA